CAGAATTCAGTGGATGCTATGATCCTCTTGCTTATCCACTTCTGCTTCCATACGGTGAGCAAGGTTGGAGTCCTTGACGAATTCTATTTAGGGGCGTTTCACTCACAACTGAAACTACAACTGAAACTACAACTGAAACTACAACTGAAACTACAACTGAAACTACAACTGAAACTACAACTGAAACTACTAATGCTAACGATACTCCATTGGCCGATATAACAAATATTGTTGAATATTCTAATAATGATCTTATTGACGACTCTAATGAAGACCCTGATGATGATATTGAAACTGATGAAAATAGCACTGTTGATACAACTCGGAAAAGGAAATTCGTAAGCGCAATGAAATTTTATGCGTATCAAATTCAAATCAGACTTACCATAATAATTTGCTTTTGAGAGTGGGTTGATTATTTCAACAATTTATAGTTGATATGTATGTCAAAATCGAAGCAGATTGTCTAAATTTTCACTGACAAAATCAAAAAAAAATTAGAAGCGAATTATACAAAGGAATTCAAGATGCAGTTTTACATGGTGATAATAATCCTAACAACGTAAGCCGTATAATAATTCTTCCCGCGACATTTATTGGAGGCCCTCGTGACATGCAACAATGTTACCAGGATGCTATGGCTTTGTTGCATCTTGGTAAACCAGACCTATTTATTATGAAAACATGTAATCCAAATTGGCCAAAGATCTAGGCTCTACTGTTACCTGATCAAAAGGCTCAAGATCGACCTGATATCACAGGTAGTTAGCACTGTTTGTAAGTAAGTTAATAAATAAAAACCTACTTACTTTACCTTTTCTAGCACGAATCTTTCGGAAAAAACTACAAGAGCTAAAAAAAGATTTATTCGAACGTGGAGTTCTCGGACGTGTTATTGCACATATCTATGTGATTGAATTTCAAAGTGAGGTTATCCGCATACACATATTTTAGTTATACTTTATCTGGAAGATAAACCACGAACCCCTGACGACTTCGAAGCTATTATATGCGCTGAGATTCCAGATCCTGTGACTAACCCTAAGACGTATGCTACAGTTATTGGCTATATGTTTCACAGTCCCTGTGGAGAGCTCAATCCTAATACACTATGTATGAAAGTCGATAGCTCTGGATGTAAAAGATGCAGTAAGGGTTTTCCTAAACAATTTCAGAACGAAACACTTCAGAGAGACGATTCATATCCGTTATACCAACATAGACAAGATAACTGAAAAGTTGTAGTAAGAGTAAGAAATCAATCAATTGTACTAGATAATTATTGGATCGTTCCATATAATAATTTTCTTAGCGCGAAGTATAACTGCCATATAAATATAGAAATCTGTGCTAGCATTAAAGCAGTCAAATATTTGTTTAAATATGTATATAAGGGTTATGATAGAGCAGTAATAGAAGTTGCTGGTCAACAACAAAATTCTGATACACAATCCTAAAGGCCTACAGTCGACGAAATTCAAAACTTTATCGAGGCGCATTAGATCTCAGCACTAGAATCCATCTGGAGAATTTTAGGATTTAATATAAACGGTATGAGCCTGGCTGTTACACAGCTACAATTACATCTTCCAGATGAACAAAGAATTTCCTTTAATGAGGATGCTCATCTTACGGAAGTGATTGAAGATGAATAAAACAAACAAACTTCTCTTACCAAGTATTTCAAAATAAATATCCAAGATCAGGATGTGAGAAACCTGTTATACACTGAGTTCCCTTTATATTACACTTGGAACAAATTGAAAAAAATATAGAAAAGACGGAAACGTAGTGGGTGTATCGGAAGAATATATATGGCGCATCCTAATGTAGGTAATACTGTACTACTTTAATAGTATTAAAAGCTGAATAAGTTAAAAAAATAAATATTTATTAATAATTAAAGCATCAAATAATTAAATGAAATAATTCATTGTTTAAAAATGAAGATAAAAAAATATAATTTTAAATAAATAAATTCTAAGGTCTCCATTATTACTACATAGGCAAATGTTACTATTTGTGTCTATTATTAACAAAGGTTAAAGGAGCAATAGGCTTCGATGATCTTAAAACTGTTGATGGTGTTGTATGTATGACCTTCAAAGAAAGGCTTAGCGAAGAGGTTTTCTAGAAAATGATGATCATTATTATCAATGTTTGAATGAGGCTAGGAAATTTCAGATGCCTAACCAAATAAGAAATCTTTTTGCAACATTACTCATCTTTGGAGATCTCACAGACGTATGCCAGTTATGGAATGAAAACTTTAGCGCAATGGCTGAGGACTTTGCACTCAGAGGAATACCTGAGGGACAGCACCAAATTCAAGCAGTTTTGCGACACATAAATCAATTTCTGCAAAGGCATTCTAAGACCGTTACTGATTATGATTTACCAGAACTAATGCCAGAACATAATAGTGAAGAATTACCAACAACGCTTATTGAAGAATTTTTGTACCAAATTGATCCAGAAGAACTTGCAAAGGTGGATACATTAAACGAAGTACAACGTGCTGTATTTGCTGAAGTAATGGGTCTTATAAGTCGAAACGAAAGTGGTGTGTTGTTTGTTGATGGGCCTGCCAGAAGTGGAAAAACTTATCTTTATGAGTACATTATTGCTCATGTTCAGGCTGATAATAAAATAGTACTTGCGGTAGCTTCTTCTAGTATTGCAGGTTACTTTTAGTGGAGGTCGCACCGCATATTCTCGATTTAAAATACCAATTTCTATGCTTGACGGGAATGCTATATACAACATTAGAAAGGATAGTGAGTTGGCTAAATTATTACATGAAACATCCTTAATTATTTGAGATGAAGTACCAATGACAAATCGTTATGCCCCTGAAGCTGTTGACAAAACAATAAGAGACATTTTGAATACTAATCTTCCTTTTGGAGGTAAGATTGTTCTTTTTGGAGGAGATTTTCGACAAGTCTTACCTGTAGTCCGCAAAGGATCTAGAGCACAGATCGTTAAAGCAGCTCTCAACAAATCCTACATTTGGGAGAATATTTGAGTTTTCCCATTAACCATTAATATGTGAGTTGAACATGCTATCGATCATGAAGCAAAATTATTTGCTGAATACTTACTACGAATAGGCAATGGCATAGAGCCTACTGTAGAAAATGACATGATCCGACTTCCTGATGAGATGGTTATCCATTCAAAAGACGAAGAAAATCCTATTGATTTGTTGACAGACGCCATTTATCCTGATCTTACTACCAATGCTATTAATAGCTCTTTTATAACAGAAAGAGCAATTTTAACTCCTTTGAATAATGACGTTGATGAAATTTACGAAAAGATAATTTTGACTAAATTTCCTGGAGAACATTACATATCTTATAGCTTTGATTCTGTGTCAGATGACGATGTAAATTTATCTCAACTCCATAACCCCTCAAGGCCTTCCCCCACACGTGCTCACATTAAAGATCGGAGCCCCCATTATGTTGCTTAGAAATCTAGATCTGAAGAATGGACTTTGCAATGGGACGAGGCTTATTTGTCGGCAATTTCAAATGCAGATTATTGATGCTGAAATACAACAGGAAATCATCGTGGCAAACGTGTATTTATTCCAAAAATTCCACTACTCGCATCTAAAGACTCAGGATTGCTGTTCATACTTAAGTGAAAACAGTTTCCTATACGGCTAGCTTTCGCATTAACTATCAATAAATCTCAAGGGCAGACACTACCACATATTGGCTTATACCTTCCACAGTCAGTCTTCACTCATGGACAGTTGTATGTAGCTATATCACGAGTTCGCGAAGGGTGTAATCTTAAAGCTTTTGTAAAGAATGGCACAATTGAAGGAAAAGACGGGACCTACACTCGAAATGTTGTATTCAAGGAAGCTTTAGTAAGATTATAGAATATAATTAAAGACTTTTGTCATATTTAATTAGGTTTTATCAACTTTAAATCTAAAATTTGTTTATCTGCTTAAATTATGCTAAACACTATTTTTTATTCTTTCTGCTTATATTTTCGCAAGAGATTAGTTAAAATTAAAATTTTGGTGAAAGTGAAAAAAATTTTTTTATTTAATAATTTAATCTTCTTTTTTTTATTTAATAGTTAAGCGCTTAGCATTACATCATACATTATTACATCCAGTGTTTAAAATTCAGAAAAAAAATTTACTTGCACAAATTGAAAATTTTGTTACTAAAGTGTCAAATTTTAATTTTATTAAAAATATTTCCATCATTGTAAAATTTAAATGCACTGTGCAAGTCAATTTTAAACCTGATTACATCATTCCAATAAAATTTAGTCATTTAGTTATCCTTAAATTATTTCATTAAACCACTTTTTTTTCTTATTTTGAACTATCCGAATCGTTCGAACCGTTTATGCCCAGTATACATTTACGGTTATTTTATTATGTAGAACTTGCGACAACTAAAAAAATCGACAATGACCAAATCGATAAGTTATTAGGATGTAATATAATAATTATGATCATTTGTTTGGTTAGTGTACTCATTCTAATATAAATTATAAAATTAAAAATTAGATGAATATAAGCTTATCCATATGTTAATTATAACGACCTTTTTCGTTTACAATACTAATGTCATGAAAAAATGTTACAGAACAATTTAATTAAAATTCAAAATTGATAAAAGCAATTAAAATATTATTATATCAATTGATTTTGCAAAATGAAACTACATTCTGCAGAAATTTATCATTATCGTTACTATTTTTGAAATTTTTCTGAACCCGAGGCAACTTTATTTATATGAGTAATGAGTAGTAGCATTCTGCTTTGAATTCAAAAATAAGATTTGAGTTATTATAATGTGTTGCGCCCTACTAAGTTACCACGACAAATCATAAATTATCGACTTCTACTAAATCAGAAGCATATTGATTCGAGCATCCATAATTTAATAAGTTGTCCCATATTCATAATACTGTATAACGATCACGCTTAATATTCCTAAATTATGTTCTGTATCTAAAATTTACTGACAAACCATTTATGCAAATTTATTTAAACTTTGCTTTTAGGCTCCTAATACTGTTCGGAATACTGACATGCCAAGTTTGTAGTGTTTAATAGGTATTATATACGTATTTAATACCTCGGAACTAATGTGAGGGTCTAACTTGACGATTTGTTAGTCTTTAAATATTAATAATTGTTGCGGATGATCATAAAATCAGATGATGGTGAAATTTAGGGGTCTTGATTTGAAAATATAAATCTACCTATACTCTTTTACTAATAACTCTAACCCTAAATCCTAACTTAACTATAAAAAAAAAGCTGACAACCCTAAAAAATTTTAAAAATTGTATATAAAATAGATCCAAATTTTACCATTATTTACGATCATCTGTGACAATAATTTTTAAGGCACCCCTTGAATGTGCGTCTGGTTAATTTTGACGGCGCGCAGGATTGATTTTACTGTCACGTTATTCTCAGAAAACAAATGTTGTTAAGTTAAAAACTTTGTTTAGAGTTTAGGGGAAGGACTAAAACTACACTAAATTTTGAAATAAATGCAAAGTGCATGTTTGTTAATTTCTTTATGATACACATAATCCTAATCGTTGTTTGGCTAATTGACGTCAGAAAATCATGTGACAGTAAAATCAATTCTATGCCCTGGTGTTGTTGTGTCAGGTTGGTGGAGCATAAAACTTGCAAAGTTTTTTTCATTATTTAAAAAAAAAATTAATAATTAAGTACGAACTAATAATTTTAATGAATAAAAATACTGTTTTTTCAGAGGTCTAAAAGTTATTGTTATTTGAATTTGTGTCTTTTTTAATTTCAAAAAAGTACTTTTACAGTATTATAGTTACTTGACCCACATGCTTTTTTTATAATGTTTTACAATTTTTTCTTAACAACAATTCAAGATATTAACAATAGTAGTTCTTAATTTAATATAATGCAAAAAAAAATATTGACTTTAAAAGTTTGAATATTTATTCCAAATAAATATCAAATATGAATAGTTGCTTAAATAAATATGTATTATATAGTTGATAAAAAATACTCTTTAAAAGAAAGTTTTTCTTATAGCTTAAACTATATTTGAGCGTAAAAAGTAACGCATCTCTAACCTAACTATCAAAAGGGTTTGCTTTTAAATTAAGATCTTTATATGCCTTATTGACATATAAATTATTATATATTTCTGCTATGAAATTGATCAGTACAAGTTCAAGATTGTATTGGTAATAGAGATTTAGCTAATCACTATTAATGCCTCAAGTTAGGTTTGGTCTTGCATTGATCTCTTATAACAAATAAATATTGAAATATTGTATAATAGATTATTAGTAATCTGTTGTTTAGTATTCTAGAGTTAAAAT